AAAAAAAAAGAAAAAAAAAAAAAAAAGAAAAGAGACAAAAAGAAAGAAAGAGAGAAAGAAAATAAACAGTTTACCCTCGAAATGAAATCAAGAGGGATGCTTCACAAAAACCGGCAAGAGGAACAAAAAGGAGCGGAGCAGACGTCGCCTTGCAAAAGCTGCAACATCGGACTTCTTTGCTCCGTCAACTCGCCCTCGCTAATCCATAGATCGAGTGGCCCGAGACTATCGGCTCCTATCAGAAAGCCTAGCCCCGCCGGACGTCCGATTATCGATCTCTCTTCGATACGTATCCCGTCTGTCTAGATACTCTTATATACTCGCCGATTAGAGAAGAACTTTTCATTCACTTGATCACGTAACTGGAACTGATTAACGTGAAAGCACCGCCCTCTTGTTTCTTTTTTCTCTCTCTCTCTCTCTCTCTCTCTCTCTCTCTCTCTTTCGTTCTTTCTTCCCTCCTTCTCTTCCTTTTTTTCTTCTTTTTTTCCTTTTTCCTCTTCATTCCTCGTTCGAAGTATTAATCTTCGAACTGGGTCAAAACTAGCGAACTAGGTTACCCCGGCGTAGGATCGCGATGGTACGTGTGGCCCGCGAAAAACATACAGCTTCCGCGAGCGATTTTCCGCGAGAGTTCCGTCGCGCGTCGACGTTAGGAAAGTTGGCCGGAATTTGAAAAAATTATGGAAACTCTGCCAATATGGCGGGCTTGGTTTGCTTGCGCGGCGCGACCGTTCCTCAAACGCGTTGCTAGTGACGGAGTCGAGCGTACCGCGCGTTCAAACAAAATATTCTACGTTGGTAGTTTTATACGGGGTGTTTCACATGATGGAAAACCAGTTTCGCTTGAATATCTTATCTATCAGTGATATTGCGAGAATTTATTTAATTTGCGATGTAACTGACGATTTGGATGGGAAAATTATTTTTTTCTTTCTTAAATGTCATTTTTTAATATGCTTTTCAAGGTCATTAGCATTTTCGATTCTTTCCCATTCCATCGTGAAAAAATTATGAGAGCCCGGACGTTTGTGACGTGACCTTCGAGTTTTTAAATTAAATTTATAATTAAATTAAATTATCGAGTATTCGAATTTTTTAATTAATCTCGTGAAACTTGCGTTGAGCGAGAATTCAGATTAGGACGACAGATAAAAGTGTAAAAACAAAAACACTATTATTTATTGCTGTGTGAAATTCATTCTCTCGAGGATTTGCTCGAAAGCTGTTAGTTTCTTTTAACGTATGGACGAGTGACTCATGATGAGTTATTCAAAGCAGGGAAAAGATTGCATCCAATTCGTCTTTTCAACCACGTTTAAGTCATTCGTGAAACACCCTGTATAAAAATGTATACGTGTAACTATTTTTCCAATTGTTGAAGACAATTGCGAGCAACGAGTATCTCGTATGAAACATTTAACCGGCTCGAAAGCCGCGGAGGTGAGATCGAGCCGCAAAATTTGAAACGTCGTATTTAGTTTGTCACGTCGTGAAACAGCAGCGAGTGTAGTCGTCGATTTATTATTTTCTAGTGCAAATCGGCCAAAAAATTTCTAATCAAAATACAAGCAAGCCGCGTCACGCGCGATTCAACTCGATTCCATCACTGCCCCCCCCCCCCACTTTATTTCCCCCTTTCTCCGGCGGATTTTCCGCGCGAAACGCCGCCGCGACGATTTCGGCCGGGTGAATAATTTTTTTATTAACTTTGGAAATTCGTTTGTGGAAAACTGTGCGCCGAGGGGATCTCGGGAATGCCATTGTTCCGGTCATTTTTCGCGGGAAACATTTCGAGAGGGGGCTGGCTCGCCCGAGGCGAGACGGAAATCAATCGTCGAAACGATGAAACTCGTTTTTTGTTTTGGTTCTTTTTTTTTTTTTTTTTTTTTTTTTTTTTTTTT